CCAATCCACCAATTCTCCCCAACCCGTCAATTCTCCCTGCTCCTCAGCCTCTGGTAGCCACTATTCTACTCTCTATCTATATGACCTCAGCTTTTTAGATCATACACACACACGCACACACACATACACACACATATGTATATATAAATGAGATCGTGTGGCATTTGTCTTTCTGTGCTTGGCTTAGGTCACTTTACATAGTATCTTCCAGGTTTGTATTCAATGCTGTTATAAATGTCAGGATTTCTCCCCTTTTTTTTTTCTTTTTTGAGACAGGGTCTGGCTCTGTCACCCAGGCTGGAGTGCAGTGGCACAGTCTTGGCTCACTGAAATCTCGACTTCCCAGGCTCAAATGATCTTCCTACCTCAGCCTCCCAAGTAGCTGGTACTACAGGTGCACACCAGTGGGTCTGGTTAATTTTTTGTATATATTTTTTTGTAGAGTTGAGGTTTTGCCATGGTGCCCAGCTGGTCTTGAACTCCTGGCTCAAGCAATCCACCCACCATGGCCTCTGAAAGTGTTGGCATTATAAGCATGAGCCACGGTGCCTGGCCATTTCCTTCTTTTTAAAGGTTAAATAGTATTCTGTTGTGTATGTATACAATGTGTATACATACACATGTTTTCTTTGTCCATTCCTCCACTGATGGATGCTTAGGTTAGTTCCATATCTTGATTATCATTTGTGTGTTATGGATTGACTTTTCTCTCACCAGAAGATCTGTTGAAATAATAACTTCTTGTACCTCAGAATGTGTCCCTATTTGGAAATGGAATCTTTATAGATTTAATTAAGATGTAAGTTACAATGAAGTCATTGGAGTAGGGGTGGGTCCTTAACCCGTTATGACAGGTGTCTTTATAAGAAGAGGAAAAGAGACACAGACACAGAAGAAAGATGATCAAGTGACACCAGAGGCAAAATTGGAGTGATAGAGCCACAAGCCAAGGAAGGCTAAGGGTTGCCAGCAGCCAGCAAAAACTGGAAGAGGCCAGTGAGGACCCCCCGCTGGAGCCTTCAGAGAGAACTTGGCTCTGTTGACATCTATTTGGACTTCTGGCCTCCTGAACTGTGAGAGAATCAACTTTTGTTGTTTTTAAGCCACCCAGTTAGTGGCATTTTGTTATACCCATCCTAAGACATGAACACTGTCTAACTCTTATTCTTAAAAATACTGGGATTACATAGCCACCACCAAAGGTGACTGGGGGCACAATGTTCTAACTGCCCCTTGGGACCTTCTATTATCCCCAGTAGCTGAGTGTGCCAATGGGCCTCTGGCCTTGTAAAATCCCATCATCCTCCCTGGAAGAAGGGAGCCCAGGTCCGAGGGCAGCATGTCTCCCCATCATCTGCATGGTTCTGAACCATCACTGGGAGGCAGCTGACTGGTCGGGACATTTCCAGCTTTTACACTGATTGAGCCATGCCACACAGTACTCAGGGCGCAATGTGGGCTGCTGTAAGATGCGCTAAACGTGGTGAAAACAGCAGGCCTGAGCACCACCAGAGCATCATTTCTGACCCCTTGTATCTGCCCAACACAGAGAACGGATCAGTTGTAAGAAATTGGCAGATGCATGTGGCTCAGACTTTTGGAAAAAAAAAAAAATCTCATCGGTAGAAGGCAGAACACACTGTGGGTAAATCTCTCAGTTAATTTAATTTTATTTATTTATTGAGATGAAGTCTTCCTCTGTCATCCAGGCTGGAGTGCAGTGGCACAATCTTGACTCACTGCAACCTCCGCCTCCCAGGTTCAAGTGATTCTCCTGCCTCAGCCTCCTGAGTAGCTGGGATTACAGGTGGACGCCACCATGCCTGGCTAATTTTTGTATTTTTAGCAGCGATGGGGTTTCACCATGTTGGCCAGGCTAATCTCAAACTCCTGACCTCAAGTGATCTTCCTCGACCTCCCAAAGTGCTGGGATTACAGGCTCTCGGTTAGTTTTAACATTGTCTTGAGATTACAATAAAAAGGGGGCTGATTTTAGCCCCCAGAAACTTTCATTTCATTGCTTCTTTTAAAAAAGGCAGGCTGGGCATGGTGGCTCACAGCTGTAATCCCAATACTTTGGGAGGCTGAGGTGGGAGGATCACCCAGTCAGGAGTTTGAGACCAGTCTAGCCAACATGGTGAAACCTCATCTCTACTGAAAATATAAAAACTGGCTGGGTGTGGTGGTAGGCACCTGTAATCCCAGGTACTCAGGAGGCTGAGGCAGGAGAATCGCCTGAACCAGGGAGGCGGAGGTTGCAGTGACTCGAGATTGTGCCTCTGCACTCCAGCATGACTGACAGAGTGAGACTCTATCCTCCCCCCACCCCCCCCCAAAAAAAGAAAGAAATGCAGGTAGCCCAGAGACAGGCTTTCCACCTGACTTTCAGGCAGTGACAGAGTGTTATTTACCTTTGTACTGAACGGGATAAGGTACTGCGAGCTGCTGTAACACTTCGGACTTGTGGTGGCTTAGCACAATGGAAGTTTATTTCTCATTCATGTAAGGTCCAGCTTCGGGAAGGGAAGCTGCCTCACCAGTCACTGGGGAGACAGGTGGACAGGCTCTGCCATCTTCAGCTCAGGCTTCCAGGTTGCTCTGGCTGTTGGTGTCAGCATCTATTGGTAGGAACGGGAGGGGAGAAGGTGGAGGGTCCCTAGTAGGTTTTCTGGATCCTCTCTCTGGACTGCCCTCCCCGACCCCTGCTCCCTTCTGTCTGGCCAACCACCCCTAAGACTAAAGAATGTGCAGGATGCTAGACGCGGTGGCTGGTACCTGTAGTCCCAGTGCTTTGGGAGGCTGAGGTGGGAAGATCTCTTGAGCCCAGGGGTTTGGGGTCAACCTGAGGAACATGGCGAGACCCTTGTCTCTACAAAAAATAATTTAAAAACCAAACCAAACCAAACAAAAAGCAAGCCAGGCGTTTTAGTACAAAACTGCAGTCCCAGCTATTTGGGATGCAAAGATGGGAGGAGCACCCGAGCCCCGGAGTTTGAGTTATAATCATACCACTTCATTCCAGCCTGGGCAACATAGGGAGACCCTGTCTCTATTAGAAAGAATGAAAAATAGGAAGGAAGGGAGGAAGGAAGGAAGGAAGGAAAGAAGGAAGGAAGGAGAAAGAAAAAGAAAGAAAGCGAGAGAAAGAAAAGAGAAAGAAAAAAAGTGTGCAGGTGTTGCCTCCTCCCTGAACCCTTCAGCCTTCCTGCAGACCTGGGCTCCTCCCGGGCCCCTTCTTGCAGCCCAGCTCAAGGATGCTGTGCTGCTTACTCTGCCCTCACCCCCAAGCTCCTCGAAGTTGAGGGCCAAGTCTCACAGGTCATGCTTCCCAGCTTCCCAGTGACGGCACATTAGCTGTTTGTCTATTGCTGTGTCTCTATCTGACATCAGCTCCACCTGAGCAGAGCCTTTCATAGCTAAAACCCCAGAGCCTAGAACAGAGACCAGCAAATAATTCATAAGTCAACGCATAAATATGTATTGATCAAATGGATGAATGAAAGACTTGGAAGAATGTTGGAGGCAAGGCAAGGTCCCCAGGTGGACTCCCTGCCGGCCCAGGGCTCCCCGCCCCTCCTTTACTAGTCAGGACCCGCGACTGCAATTTGCTGAGCTCAGCGCAATACAAAAATGTGGGCCCCCTTGTTCAAAGATTAAGAATTACAAGACAGCAAGAGTAGAGCCTTAAACCAAGAGGGAGAGAGTGTCTTCCTGGGACAGCACCGGGCTGCTGCGCGGGGGCAGGATGGGGGCTCGCCCCAGGCTCGCTCCCAATCCCCAGAATCTCGGTCCTGCGGCTGGGATTCTGCGCCTCCAGTCCGCCACGCCAGACCGTAGGACGCTCTTCTGCAGAAACTTTCTAGACTTCCACTTAGCGGCACCCGAGCCGGACACAAGTGGGGCGCCCGGGCGGACACTGTCCCCTTCTGGGAGCGGGCAGGCGTGAGGCAGGCCCCGGGGGCTTTGGAAGGGGCTGGTGGAGACGCTTGGGTGCCGGTGGCTCCAGGCAGACCCCCGGGCGTCCCCTACTCCAGCTCCGCACGGCCCAGAAATGCTGCCGCTCCTTTGGAGGAGGGCGCGGGATGGTCTTTCTTCTTGGAAAGTGGCTTAGGTCTTCTTCCGCGTCTGGGCGTCTCGCAGACGACACACAGGCACACCAGACAGACAAACAGAAAAACCCACAAAAGGCGGCCCCTCCCCCGATTCAGAGAGCCAGTGACGGACGCTCCTCCACCCCTAACCAGATACGCCAGAACACAGACACAGAGTGACCCACGCAGAGAAGACAACACAGATACGCAGGGACGAGGACAGACCGACGGACGCTTGGACACGGACCCAGGCAGGATCACCTGGGCCTCTGGGTTCCCCAACCGAGACCCACGGGGACGGCCCGGATCAGCGCACGCCCCTGCAGAGCCCGGGGCTCCCCACTTGGCAGCAGCCACGCCCCCCACGCATACCCCCTTGGTCCGGCTCCGGGAGACCCCTTCTCTTCTCCCTACCCCTGCAACCCCGGGAGGAACCTCTTGTCACCCAGCGTTTCCGGGGTGCCGGGACAGGGGCTGGGTCGGCGGGCGTCGGCGCAGGGGTGAGGGCTGCAGACAGCGGCCGGCGGGGGCCGGGAGCGCAGGCGGAGGTGCGAGAGGACGCGCGAGTGTCTGGGCAGGGCTGGCCTGTGTCCCAGGGATCAGGAGTGGAGAGCTGTCCGTGTGCATCCCGGAGTAGGCAGGAGGCTGCCCCGGGCGTCGCCCAGTGAGGGGCAGTGGGCAGGGGAGCGCGTAGAATCCCGGGTCAGCAGGGTGGGGCGCCGGGTAGGTGGACAGGGTGGTACCTTGACCGAGGGTGAAGGGGCAGAAGAGGGGAGGGCGGGCCTCGGGAGGTGTAAGGAAAGGGGGCAGGTTGGCAGGGGCGTGGGGTGGGGATCGGAGGGGCGTTGAAAAAGGAAAGGGGGGTACTGGTTGGCAGAGGCGTCCAGGCAAGGACAGGAGCCGGGAGCGCAGGCGGGGCCCGGCGGCGGCCACCCCCGGGACCAGACTTGGGGCGGGTGTCTCGAAGATGCTAGAGGGCCTGGGGTCCCCCGCCTCACCCCGGGCAGCTGCAAGCTCCTCGGTCGAGGGGTCGTCGGGGCCCGCGGCCTGCCCGCCGCCCTCGCCCTCGTCCCCGACGTCCCCGGAGTCCCCAGCCCCCCGGCGGGGCGGTGTGCGCGCCAGCGTCCCGCAGAAGCTGGCGGAGGCGCTGAGCAGCCAGTACGGGCTGAACGTGTTTGTGGCGGGGCTACTGCTGCTGCTGGCCTGGGCCGTGCACGCTGCGGGCGTGGGCAAGAGCGACCTGCTGTGCCTCCTGACGGCGCTCATGCTGCTGCAGCTGCTGTGGATGCTGTGGTACGTGGGCCGCAGCTCCGCGCACCGCCGCCTCTTCCGCCTCAAGGACACGCACGCGGGCGCCGGCTGGCTGCGCGGTGAGTCCAGGCGTGGGGCGAGCGGGTCTCGGCCTCCTCGCTCGCTGGGCGCATCCTAAGGCGGCTGTGCGCCCTTCCCACCTCTGCCGCCTTCCCTTCAGCCTTGTCTGCTTTGGTCTCCGTGCATGTTTCCTGGCTCTCCCCTCTGCCCTTCCTTCTCTCCTCTTTTGAAGCCTGGGTAGCCACAGGAGCTTCCTTTCGGCCTCCAGGCGTTTCCATCATGTCAGCTACAGTTACACAAACCTCTCCAGTCTCCCCCTGGCTTACAGCCGTGCAGTGGCCCTACTGACCCGGTGATGGAGGCCCGCTTTCTCTCCTGGCACTCAGGGCCTTCTAGCACGTGGCCTCCAAGGGCCCGTTTTCTTTGATCCCCTCCTTCGTTCTCATCCTGTGCTGCGGTCTCGTTGTCAGGGACTTTCCACTCCCGTCGCAAGATCTCCTGCTTCTTTGCCTCTGCACACTCGGCACGTTCTGTTCCCTCCTCCAGGAATGTCTTTTCCACTCTCCCACCTGCCCCTCTGCTTTCTGAGACAGGGCTCAGGCCTCACCCCATTCTTGCCTTGAGGCTTCTCCGACCCCGTCTCCTCCTGGCTTTGCAGGTCTTTCCATACGCCACCCCTCCCCCACCGCCCCCGCACTGGACCCTATCGTCCTTGACACGTCTGTACCCTCCACCCCAATGGGGAGCTCTGTGATTCGTGTCTCTCGGTCCTTGAGCCACTTCAGGGCCTGGCACGAAGTGGGTGCCGAGAAAATGAGGGGGGATTGATGAGTGCGTGGATGCAGGGTGGAGCAGGGAGGGATAGAAGCTCCTGCTGGTGCTCACAGGCATTGGCTGAAATTGTCAAGATAGGAACTCTCCCTTCCTGAAGGGGCTGCCACTCTTTTTTTACGTTTGTTTTTGTTTTTGAGACAGGGTGTTGCTGTCTCCCAGGCTGGAGTGCCGTGGTGCAAAGCCCACTACAGCCTCTACCTCCTGGGCTCAAGCAATCCTCCCACTTCAGCCTCCTGAATAGCTGGAACTACAGACACACACGACCTTGCCTGCTAAGTTTTGTTATACTTTGTAGAGACAGGGTCTTTCTGTGTTGCCTCCTAGTCTCAAACTCCCGGCCTCAGGGGATCCTCCTGCCTTAGCCTTCCAAAGTGCTGGGATTACAGGCTTGAGCCACTGTGCCTGGCTGGGGCTGTCCGACTTGAAGGAGAGCCAAAGGTGGTGCAGGTGAAAGGGAGGAGGTAGTGGGCAGCATGCTTGTGAAGAAAGCCTGTGTCTGAGTAACCTTCCCGGCAGAGGCCGACTGCATTTCACACCATGTGGTGCAGACACATACCTGTATTCTCATGTTAGACCTGCCTTTAAACCTCCCTTAGAGTGGGGCTTCTGTGTTCCTTGCATGCATGAGCTTGAGCGAGTTACTTGATTGCTTCCCTTACCCTGAACCCTGGTTTCAGCATCTGTAGAATGGGAATCCTGCACAGGATAGGATCCAGTGATTGACGAGGAGGGTGCCCAGCACACACCAGGCCTCCTTCCCACATTTCCTTCAAAGGTCCTGCCCAAATGCCTGGCAGGGATTTCTCCTCCCTTCCATGGGCCACCGTGGCCCTCCCTCTGTAAAGCGCCTTTGCTCCTTGTCCGTTTCTGCCTTGTATTATGCCTATTTTGGATATGAACCTTGTCATCCAGATGAGACTTCAGCTTCTTAGGCTCAGGATCTAGTTCATCTTTTGGGAAAATTTGACACCATTGCGGGTTGGCCCAAATTCCTGTTCTGAAAATGGTTGTTTTAGGGAGGTTCATGGTTTTGTGACTCTCTGTGAATGACAGTGAATCTGGTGCTGTTTAAAACAAGGCACAAAGAGTTATTTTACGATATTGACTTACAATATTAGGCTAAAGAATATTATACACATGAGCCTGTACCTGTGCTTTCCTGAAGTCAAAGACCCCTTTTTTGTCCTTCACTTTTTTCCTCCATCCTTCTTCCTCCCTTCTTCCTCCCCTCCCTCCCTATTCCCTCCCCTCCCTCCTCTCTTCCTCTTCCCTTTCCTTTTTTTTTCTCATTTTCTTTCTTCCCCTCCTTCATTCTCCCTTCCTCTATCCTTCTCCCCTCCATCCCTCCTCTCTCTCTCCTATTTTTTTTCTTTCCTCCCCTCTTCCCTTCTCTCTCTCTCTCTCTCCCTCCCTCTCTCTCTGTCTCTCTCTCTCTTTTTGAGATGGAATCTCACTCTGTTGCCCAGGCTGGAGTGCAGTGGCTTGATCATGGCTCACTGCAACCTCCATTTCCTGGGTTCAAGTGATTCCCCTGCCTCAGCCTCCTAGCTGGGACTACAAGTGCTCACATCACCACAGCCAGCTAATTTTTGTATTTTTAGTAGAGATGGTGTTTCACCATGTTGACCAGGTTGGTCTCAAACGCCTGAGCTCAGGTGATCCACCTTAGTCTCCCAAAGTGCTGTGATTCCAGGCGTGAGCTTATTACAGGATAATCACACACTGTGTCCAGCCTGGTGCATTTAGTATGCTCTTCTTCTTCTTCTTCTTTTTTTTTTCTAGTCAGTCCGTGCTTATCCAAGGAATGCTCTTCTTTATATTGAAGTGCAGTTGACTTTTCAAAACCGTCATCCTCTTCCCTGGAGCTTCTATCATCATTCACTTATTCATCTCCATTCATCCATCCATCCATCCACCATCCATCCATCCATCCATCCACCATCCATCCATCCATCCACCATCCATCCATCCATCCATCCACCATCCATCCATCCATCCACCATCCATCCATCCATCCATCATCCATCCATCCATCCACCATCCATCCATCCATCATCCATCCATCCATCCACCATCCATCCATCCATCCATCCACCATCCATCCATCCATCATCCTTCCATCCATCCATCCACCATCCATCCATCCATCCATCCACCATTCCTCCATCCATCCATCCACCCACCATCCATCCATTCATCCATCCACCATCCTCCATCCATCCAACCCTCCATCCACCCACCATCCACCACCCATCCATCCATCCATCCATCCACCCACCATCCATTCATTCATCCATCCACCATCCATCCATCCACCCATCCACTATCCATCCATCCACCATCCACCATCCACCATCCACCATCCATCCATCCATCCATCCACCATCCATCTATCCACCATCCACCATCCATCCATCCATTGTATTTTTTGGTTCTTCCTCTCTCTCTGACTCTTTCTAGGTTGACTGTGAGCATTGGAGCCTGAGTCTGTGGGTGAATGGTTGCACCGTTTCCCAAGATAGGGAAGCCAGAGGGAAGAGCAGGGTGGGAACACAAAACCAATGACATGTTACATTTCTCTTGTGGACATGCTACATTTGAGGTGTCTTTTGGACGGTATGCAGAGAGGGAATAAACAGGCAAGGTAGAGAGAGCACATGATAGGTGTTCAGAAAGTGGTGGCTGTTTAGACATTCCGTGAGTTGCCCCATAATAGCGTAATTCAAGTGAGGTGTGGGTATCATGGAAATGGTGTTGGCCCTGGAAGCCTTGGCCTGAGGTATCAGCTCTATCACCTTCACCTTTCTGAGTCCCGGTATCCTCATCAGTAAGATAAGAATCCCAGCCACCTCTCTGGGAGGAGCTGGGGGATGTTGCGAGAAGCAGTTTGCAAAGCCCTGGCCATTCCTGTGGGTTCATCAAAGAAACAAAAGGCTAATTTTGAATGTCAGGAGGCCCCGACGCCACAGGGAAATACCTTCAGCCCCAACAGGGACTGGGGTTTCCTCTGGAATTCTAGCTGGAAAGACAGGTTTGACCCAGGAACTCAGCTCTGCCCTGGTGCTGGTGACAATCTTAGATCAATAGGCAGAGGGCGAGTCCCTCAGGAAAGGGAGCAGTGATCCCCAAGGCCCATTCTGGGGCCACCATGAAGATCTTGCTTAACTGCATGCATTTTCTTACACATTTGTTTTCTTGATGATCCAAAGGCAAATATAGACAGTGTCATGATTTCGCACAAACAAGAGAATGTGGATGCCAAAAAATCAGATGCAGCCTTGACTTTCACTGGAAAGGAAGTCAGACTGTACGTGGAGGGTCTCATCCTCCTTGAGTGTTTCACAGGGCCCTGGAAAGAGTGGCAGGAGGAGGAGCAAAAGGAGGGTCAGTCCAGAAGAGAGAAGGATGCGGAGGTCACAGGGTAGAAAGTGCTGCTGCCTTGCACCTGTCAGCTCCAGATCATTTTCTGTCCTTCAGCAAATAAGAGTCATTTCCTCTGGGAAACCTCTCCCAACAGTTTCAGACCAGGGGCAGCTCCCAGGATGTATAGTCTCATAACACTCTGTTCATTTTCTTTCTAGCACTAGTCAAGCAGGAGACTGTATTATTCAGTGACTGTTGGGCTAGCCAGACTGAGCTCCTAAAGGTAGAGACCCTGTCTGAATGTGCGTACCATTGTATCCCAAGCTCCCAGCACAGTGCCTGACATGTAGTAAATACAGTTGGTATCTACTGAATAATTGAATGGATGAATGAGCGGATGGATGGATAATTAGATGGGTGGATGAGTAAGTGAATGATGATAGAAGCTCCAGGGAAGAGGATGATGGTTCTGGGAAGTCAACTGTACTTCAGTATAAAGAAGAGCATTCTAAATTAAGCACTAGGCTGGGCATGATGGCTCACATCTGTAATCCCAGCACTTTGGGAGGCCGAAGTGGTCGGATCACTTGAGGTCAGGAGTTTGAGACCAGCCTGGCCAACATGGTGAAACCCCATTTCTATTAAAAATACAAAAATTAGCCGGATGTGGTGGCGGGTGCTTGTAATCCCAGCTACTTGGGAGGCTGAGGCAAGAGAATTGCTGGAACCCAGGAGGCAGAGGTTGCTAGTGAGCCGAGATCATGCTACTGCACTCCAGCCTGGGCAACAGAGACTCCATTTCAATACAATACAATACAATAAATAAATAGGGTAAATACCAGCTGGTGATGGAAGGGTGCAC